CCCCAAAACCCCAAAACCCCAAAACCCCATTATATAGATCAAAAGTGGTCATGAAATTAATTTAATTTTAGAAGCTAAATCTATTTTTACTTTTTCAATGATTGAACTTTAATCAAAGCATGCTAAATTACTTAGGTTTAATATCTCTCTCCTTTGATTTATTCTTTATCATATCAGCTTTCATTGTTTGACCAAGCTTTTACTGTTTATCTATTTTATATTTTTATCTTATTCCAGATTTTTCCCTATCTTGAACATTGTCTCTTTAGCTTTTTTGATTTGGCAATTTTTACATTTATTTGTCATTTTTGTTTTCTGTTGCATGAAATTGAGTTTAATTTTCTTTGCTACTTTTATCCAATAAAGATTTCTTATTTTTCTTAACCTTTAATTTTTCTGAACTTTTTTATGTATTAGTAATTGCCTATAGTTACTTACAAAGCTTTAGATTTTAAACTGGAGCTTTTTATTCATCTGATTTCCTTCTATTAAACTGATCTTTGCTAGAACTCTTGAATAATTACCTAACTACAGAACTTTTTCTATCTTTATTAGCACTCTTACTTCGTTCTCTCTTTGACTAGTAGATCAAATGAGTTCCTATAGCAGATGTACTATCACGATATGTTTTCTAGCTAATTTTTGCAGTGCTTTTAGATTTCTTTAACATCTTATTTAGTGACTCAACTGTATTCTAGAAATAAACATGAGATCTTTGATGATTATTATTCTTGCTTTAAGATTTATTAGATGCTATTGATCCCTTGTAAAGTTTATTTGGAGTTTTATCTCTAGATGATTTAAGATTGCTTATTGTTTCACTTTTAACTTGGTAATCTCTTAAGTTATTTGTTCTTGAAGAAATCAAAGGTCTATAAAAATTTTCATCAGTTTAAATCTCTACGCTTTCATGATTTCTGTGTGAATAATGTCCATTTGTTTTGTTGTAAATTTAGGCCTTTTCATTGAGAGTTAAGACTATTTCATTCAGATTATCAAGGTAGGATTTTTCTACTTTTTTAGAAGTATTTTTTACTATTACTGGTTGATTCTACTGTTATTCATAATCAAATACATTACTTTGGTTATCATTTTCAAGTTTCTAGCATCTTTATATCTTTAAAAACGGATAAGTGCTTTAAATCTCTACCAAGTCCTGATTCACACCATTGGAATTAATTACAGACTTATTTGTAATATCATGCTAAGATTACTACTCAATCTATGACTGACTAAGAGCAATTTCATTTAAAAATTGATAATTATCAGTAGCCATACTCATGCCCTCGTTTTAACTATTGTTTTATTCCCTTTGGAAGTCAAAACTTTTCATAAATATAGAATCATTCATAATGATTGGTCTCAGAACTTAATGATTTTTCTTTTTGCTAGAATCTCGCCACTAGTCTTTGTAAACATAATCTGGATTGTTATAGAGTTCATAATATTTTATTTGATTTATAACAGACTGAATTGGAGAACTCTGCTAATCATAAAAAGAATGTTGATTTGTAGATCTGTAAGATTAGTTTGACTCTTTTTGGTTTTCTTTATCTGACATTAATTTTATAATTTTTAATTTTAACTGATAAATCACCAAACTTACCCAAATTAAGTCACTTGGGGTTTTGGGGTTTTGGGGTTTTGGGG